GGGTGCAGCCGTAGCAGATCCAGCTTTTGTTTAACCACTAGGCTCCATTGCTCTCCACAACCAGCCCTTCTTTACCCACGAGAAAGGTTTTGCTGCCAGTGTCAGCCTGTCCAGGGCTCCCTGCTGCAGTCACGGGGGACAGGAGTTGATGAAATGTGTGGGGAAGGGTGGAGCATGGCCTTTGGTTGGAGCAGAGCAACCTGTCAGCAGCGGAAAGGGCCCATGTGCTTTTGTTTTTCCTCTTCCTCTCGCCGCTGCAGCTGATCATCCCAGCCCTGGTAGCTGTCACCCAGGTGATGCACAACTTCCTGGCCTTCGTCTTCCTGGTGATCATGGCAGGCTGCAGCATGGCTGTGCTCTACCTTTTACCCTGGTGAGCAGAGGCAGCTCCGAGCCACTTGTCAGGTGGACAGGAGGGGAAGGTTACGGGGAAAGCACCACCCATGATGTGCCAAGGCTGCCCGTTTGCTCAATACAGCAGATTTTTGGGCTGCAGAGGGACCTGTGGAGGTGGGACTGTGAAGGGAGGTGGATGCGATCCACGGTCCCCCAGCAGCATCGTTCAGTCTGTGTTGAGGTTCAGCAGCAAGACGCCAGTCATTGCACAAGGCGCGGTTTTTCCTCTCTTTCTGAAGCAGCTGCCGCACCCTCTGTCAGACGCTCTCTGCCCTGTTTGCCCAAGGCAGAGGACGGGCACAAAGCGGTCTCCAGAGTGGGGTTCTGCAAGGGGTTTCTGTCTCTTTCTGCTGCTGCTTGGGGTGGCCTGGGAGCGGCTGCAGCTGAGTTCAGCTGGCACTGGGGCGTGGGTGCCACTAACACCTCTGGGGGGGTGTCCGTCCCCAGGTCCATGCTGCCGGATACGGTGGATGACTTCATGCTGAGGAACCCCAGCTGCCTCAACCTGGAGGCTCTCTTCTACTCGTTTTATGTCTTCTTCAACAAATTTGCAGGTGGCCTTGCCGTGGGGATATCGACACTGAGTTTACAGTAAGCCCCAAACACTCCCTCCCCTATTTTTTCAGCCCAGCACAGGCACTTTCCACATCTGTTTTCTAGAACGTTGATAGGAGATGCTGGAATGAGTCACAGGGATATCCAAACGTGTCTTTCCAACATCTACTGGGAGCAAGAGGAGGAAAAAGGAGTGGGAATTCCCCAAAACTGGGCCTCTGATACCAGACTCTAGAGGATAGTGACAGAGGTGCCTGTTGGCCTTTCTGCAGTGGCCCAGTGGGGCTGGGGGAAGGAAAACCATTCTCCTCTTCAGTTTTGCAGGTTACCATGCTGGAGACTGCACGTACAACCCCTCCGTCATCCTCACCCTGCAGCTTCTCATGGCCCCAGTCCCAATAGGCCTGCTGCTCATTGCCATAATCATCTTCTGTCTCCATCCCATCAATGAGGAGAGGAGGAAGCAGATGAGAATGGAGATGGAGGCACTGGGGTAAATTCCAGCTCCCTGGGTGTCTGCCTTGGTCCTAGCCTGACACAAAAATGTACAGGGAAGGGACAGTGTGTGTCCAGTGTGTCCAGCTGCATCCTTTGGCTACAACCCTCTCTAGGGGTGCACTTCCCAATGGGTTTGGGGGGTATTTTGGAAGCTGCTGACTTCACACCAGATTTCATGAGCACTTGTGTTCCTTTTAACAGGCATCAGGTACAGCACGACAGCCGAGAACAAACCCAGGGCTGAAGTGGGTGAGTTCATCAGGAAGGACACAGCTTTGCTGCGCTGTCAGGATGTGCCGCTCTCGGGGAAAATCGTTGCTTCCTGTTGTTTCCTGTTCCCTGTCCCAACGGCTTGTTTTGTATCCTGACCCCCTCCTGGCTGGCAGGCACAGGATGTGGAGGGGCTCCTCTTGCAGCCCCAGTCCTGCCACCTCACCAGAGCTGCTTTCTTCAGGGCTTGGCCTCTCCGGTCTTTTGGCAAGTCCTGACAGATCTGGGCAAAGCAGATCCATGCTCTCTTTCTGGGGAAAGACCGCAGTGCCGGGGAGGAAGGGCCCCCACCAGCCCCAGAGCAGTGCTCTCTCACACTGGGGTGCGGAGGTGTCACTTAACCCTGTGGGAAAGCATGCACAAAGAATGCAGGAATTGTTTTCGAGAGGAAACTATTTTTGATCAGTTTTTAGGGAAAATACTGCTGAGATAGTGCATGCCTTTGTGCTTAGACTGCCCTTTCAGAGTGAAAGGTTTAGAATTTCTTCAAACAAGGGTGAAGTTCAAGCCAGCAGTGTTTTAAAGCATATACAGAAACAATGACACCTGGCAGCAGGGTGGTGGAAGCCAACTCTGTCCATCTGCCCGGGCCTTGTCAGCTGAGCCACTTCTGGGAAACCAGGAGCTTCTCGGCACAGGATGTTGCAGGACTGGGCCATGTTTCCTCTGGTCAGGTAGTTAGGGGGTTTCTGGCAGCTTGTCCTGGTTTTGACTGGGTTGGCAGGTTACAACAGAAGTGTCAAACGAAATGTCAAGACGAGCCGAGTTGCTTTTAAGTCGTAGCCCATAGCTCGATCTCCCACAGCAGCATCTTGTGAGAGCTGCTCGGCATCCCCACGTCTCTCCTGGCAACAGTGAGGGGGCAGCGGGGAGGGGGGGAGAGAAGAAATCAGCCATCTCATGGCTGGTAGCGCTGAGCTGTGTTCAGCCTTGTGCAGCGGCAGAGCATGAGGCTGGTTATTTTTAGGGCTAGAGCTGCATCTGACCGTTGGTTGACCTTGCAGCTCTCCAGTCTGGTGCACACTGGCAGGATCTGAGCAAATTACACCCCAGCTGTGGGCTGAATTAATTTTGAAGCTTTAAGTCTTGCGGTGTAACTTCGCGATCAGTGGGGGAAATTGTGTTTTAGAACTGCGTCAGGGCACCTTCAGGATTGTCGCAGCAGTAAGAACAATTTCAGTTCAGATTCAGAACAATTTCTCCTCTTTTTCCTCTTTTTTTTTCTTTTTTTTTTTTTTTTTTGGTCATTTTGTTTTCTGGAATGTGAAGGATGTTCCTTGGCATCACCTGACTAAACCTTTGGTCCAGTGTTGGGATGCACTGCCCTCTGCCACCGTGCTACTTTCAGCCTTGCTGCCTGTGGAGTTAAGAAAAAGCAAGTGCCTTTGAGCATCGAGGAAACACTGATCACTGGGAGTTTCAGATCCCGCAGAAAGCATGAATGATATCCAAAGGCACCCACCCCTTGGGAGAGAGGAGTGGGCTTGATGTGGAGCTCCCAACCTGTGGCACGGGCTGTGAACAGGACCTGACCCACCACAGGGCAGGGAGGTGGTGCCTGCCAGCCCTGCTGCTATGCCTGGGGTGCTGCTTCTGTATCTCAAATAATGCCCCATTTATTTTTTACACTATTAAACCTGAACAGTCACGCTTTTCCCTCTTGGTATTTCTTATTTTGTGAGTTTTGCCAGCAGACGATCCAGAGGGTAGGGAGCGGCTGAGGCAGAATTTACTTGCTTTTCAAGCCTTTGGGCTTGAAAAGTTTAGATACCAGAATCTGACCTGGACCCTCCCTGGGTCTCGACCAGCCCTGAGCAGTTGAGGGGTGGTCAAATCTGGGTGAGTTCCTCACCCCTGTCGAAGTACTGCTTGTTGCAGCAGCCAGCCTTGCTGGTAAGATGAGCAGGTAATGCCAGGGAGTAGAAAAAAAAAAACCACCACCAAAACACCCCACCCAGGGCGAGAGCCACAGTGCCTGGCGTGTGCCAGCGTGCCAGCGCCAGCACGGCAAAGGCTCTGGCGTGGGCACACAGTGAGCAGTTATTTTCCCTTTTCAGATCCTTGTTTATCACTGGCCCTCATAGGGAGAGTCAGCCCAGCCCTTCACTGAAATAGCATTAATCAGGAGGGATGCGAGCACGCCCCATTTTTCTGCCCTGTTATTTTTCCTCCTGACTCTGGGCCCTGCACATCTGCCCCGCTGACGGGTGCGTTCGGGGAAAGTCAGGGACCACAGGCAACATCTCTGCGTTGCAGCTTTAACATAAAAATGCTACAGCATCAAAGCAACAAGAAAACCACCCCCTTGGCATTTCAGTATTTAAAAGATGCAAGGGAGGAATAGAAGCAATTAAAACTTGTTTCATCCCATTATCTGTTATTTTAAGAGTCTCCCCCTCTTGTGTCCCATTTTAATGCACTTGCTGAAAATACTGGCTTTTTATTAGTCTCTTGGCTGTCCTTGGAACTTCTCTGTTCCCTTGTGGATGCTCAAGTTCATCTCCTTGAAGTAAGGAAATAGGACGCTTTGAGGCAAAAACCCTGCGCCTGGAGTGATTCTCTTTTTTTTTTGACCAAAAAAAGAAAGTAGTTGCTGCTGTTCCAGGGAAGAAAGTCCTTTTGAATTTGGGATTGTTCAAACCTGTGTGCCTTTTGTTGAACATACCTCAGTAACACGGGGCCGGTACTGACCTCCACCAGCACCGTGAGGAGCCATATGGGGAGCAGTATTAATAGCGATGTATAAAACATCACTTTACCTGGTGGCTGGCATTGCATGTGCCCCACACTGTCCATTTAGGCACAGCCTCGCCTTGGGAATTGTGGATATAATTCAAAGTTAGGGTTAGGACCTGGGGGTTCCGGGGGAGCCCCACTTTGGCAGCCCGGGGCCTCCACAGCGGCCTGCACTGGGCCACACACCCGGGGCCGGGCGGTCTCGTTGCCGCCAGGCCCCGCGCTTCTGGGGCCTATAAATGGCGGAGAAACGGGCATAGCCTGTAAGGAGCCGAGCCCTGGGGGTTCCCCGGGCGATACAGCGGCTGTGGGGAGGAGGGCTAGGCCGAGCCCCGGGGTCGCTCGCCCAGGCCCGCCGCTCCCTCACGGCGGGGGCCGCCGCGTTTCCCTGGCAACCGCGCGGTGCCAAGATGGCGGCCGGGGCCGGGCAGGAAGGAGGCGGGGGGGCGCGGAAGATGGCGGCGGCGGCGGCGGGGGGGCGGAGCCGCTCTAGGCGGCGGGCGGGCGG